GGGTCCTCCGGAGGACCCGGCCTGTCGTTTTGGAGAAACTCTCAGACTGAAGAAGTCTCTTGGAGGAGAGACGAAACGTTTCATTAGAGAAGAACCCGTCCAGAAGACCTATACAATTTTTTTTCTTTTTGATTTTTTTACCTGGATTACTGAGATGCATCAGGACATGTCCTGAAAGATGCCCATCGCTCTGTTCCTCATGCAGCCCTGGGTCACTCTGACCACTGTCTGGTCCATCTTATTCCAACCTACAGGCAGAAACTGAAGCCTGCAGTGAGAACAGTGAAAATGTGGACCAGAGAAGCAAAGCAAGACCTACAGGACTGCTTTGACTGCACTGACTGGAGTGTTTTTGAAGCTGCTACGGACAACCTGGATGAAATGACTGACACTGTCACATCCTACATAGTTTTTGTGAAGATCCGTGTGTTCCAACAAAAACCTTCCGCTCAGTCGGTAATTACAAGCCATGGTTCACAAACAAGCTCAATCAGCTTCGTCAGGCAGCGGCCTACAGGAGCGGGGACAGAGCTCTGTACAAAAAGACCAGGAACACAGTGGCTAAAAAATGCTTCTCTGAAAAGCTGAAAAGTCAGGTCTCAGCCAACGACCCTGGATCCCTGTGGAGAGGCCTTCAGCACATCACAAACTACAGAAGACCATCCCCCGCTGCTGAGGCTAGCAAAGCTAGCTGACGACCTGAACAGCTTTTATTGGAGCTTTGAGAAGAACACATTCACACCTCTCCACAGCCCCACAGCAGTATCTAACATCACACCTTCATCAACACCTCCTCTGTCTCTCCCTCCCCCCAGCACTCAAGCTGCACTCAAGATATGTGAAGCTGATGTGAGCCGATTGTTTCAGAAACAAAAGATCAAATAAGCTCCAGGACCAAATGATGTCTCACCTTCCTGCCTTAAGACCTGTGCTGAACAACTGGCTCCAATCTTCACAAATTTATTCAACAGATCACTGGAGCTGTGTGGAGTTCCTTCCTGCTTCAAACGCTCCACCATCGTCCCAGTCCCCAAGAAACCCTCCATCACAGGACTGAATGACTTCAGACCCGTCGCCTCAACATCTGTGGTCATGAAGTCCTTTGAACGGCTTGTGTTGACCCACCTGAAGGATGTCACAGGACGTCTGCTAGACCCCCTGCAGTTTGCCTACTGGGCAAATAGATCAGTGGATGATGCAGTCAACATGGGACTGCATTTCATTCTGCAACATCTTGATCACCCGGGGACTTTTGCAAGAATCCTGTTTCTTGATTTCAGTCCGGCGTTCAACACTATCATCCCAGACATTCTCTCCATCAAACTCTCCAAGCTCACTGTTTCTCCTGCCATGTGTCAGTGGATCACCAGCTTCCTGACAGGCAGGACGCGCAGGTGAGGTTAGGGAAAATCATGTCCTTCCCACAGACCATCAGCATTGGTGCCCCTCAGGGATGTGTGCTCTCTCCAC